TGAAGATTGCAACAATTTTTTTAATAGAAATTTTTTATATTCAGTTCCGCTATGCAATTTTTATATATTCTGTTGTTCAAAAAAAAAACCTGAAAGCACACATAACATAGCAATATAAATTAATGCAATTGCCATGTAATTCCAATTTCCTGCCTTTGCCTGCAATGTCCATCTCATACATCTCGTTTCATCATCATCATGAGCTTGCAGTTGTGACTTTTATAGTTTTTTTGGGGTTGGTTTGTTTGTGCTGAGGAAGTGTCGAAGACATTCGTGAGGATAAGGTTGGATATGTGTGAGGTAAGGGCAGGCCATGGTAGTTTGAACCACGACTCTCATAATTCGATCCAAAATTTTAATTTTCCTCAAAAATCACCCGCCATACTCAGCCAGCCAACCAATCTAGTATCCATCATTCGCTATCTCTCCATACATACGTAAATATTCAGCGAAAAAAAAAATCCATCAGCAAAACAAATTTATAGTCTCGAGTATTTTTTTTTCATCCTCTTCTGCACTTTTTTTTCGCAGGAGATGCCTCGCATTTACTTTTTTTGCATTATCATCTCATTCCCAAACGAAATATATATAAAAAAAAATATTCAACCTCCTCACATGAAGCTCCTCTAGCCTCCTCAACAGAAATATAAAAAAATCGACTCCGCGTTCTGCTACATGTAGATGTGCACACATAAGTTATGTACATGCGATGAGGAGGAAAAAAAATATTCTAGCAATGCCGAAATAAAAAAAAAATTGACAAAAAAAAAAAGAATTTTTTTTCGGAAAAACAAACTTTCCCGTTCCACTCGCGATACATTCGCACATTGATGAGGTCCACATAGAGTTTGGAAATTGCTCGATGCTCGTTTCGAGTGTAGTGTACGGAAAAAAGTAGAAAAAAAAATAAAAATAACAAACGATGGACTTTGAGACTCACCCCGCATCTCCTCACACTTCATGATTTGATGTAGATATTTTTTATTTCATCATAATGTGAGCATTGGAAGTGGACATTGTAGATTGGGTTGTTGTGGCAATGTTGAGGTTTTGGAGGATTTTTCTAATTTATCTTCAAATTTTAGATCAAAATCTGAATTTAACCTCAAAGTTGTTGAGATCTACTTCAATGTAACCTCTAAATTTCTGAGATCTCCTTCAACCTAACCTCAAAATTACTGAGATCTACTTCATCTTAACCTCAAAAATAATCATTTCTACTCTAATTTAACCTCAAAACTATTAAGATCTACTTTATCTTAACCTCCAAATTACAGAGATCTACTTCATTTGAACCTCAAAATTACTAAGATTTACTATAAATTAACCTCCAAATTACTAAGATCTACTTCATCTTAACCTCAAAATTACTGAGATCTACTTCAACTTAACCTCAAAAGTACTCAGATCTACTTCATCTTAACCTCAAAAATAATCATTTTTACTCCAATTTAACCTCAAAACTATTAAGATCTACTTTATCTTAACCTCCAAATTACAGAGATCTACTTCATTTCAACCTCAAAATTACTAAGATTTTCTATAAATTAACCTCCAAATTACTAAGATCTACTTCATCTTAACCTCAAAATTTCTGAGATCTCCTTCAACTTATCCTCAAAATTACTGAGATTTACTTAAACTTAACCTCCAAATTATTGACATCTACTTCATCTTAACCTCAAAATTACAAAGATTACTCCTTCAACTTAACCTCAAAATTACTGAGATTTACTTCAACTTAACCTCCAAATTATTGACATCTACTTCATCTTAACCTCAAAATTACTAAGATCTACTTTATCTTAACCTCGAAATTACTGAGATCTACTTCACTTTAACCTCAAAATTACTAAGATTTACTATAAATTAACCTCCAAATTACTAAGACCTACTTCATCCTAACCTCAAAATTACTGACATCTACTTCATCTTAACCTCAGAAATACTAAGATCTACCTCATCTTAACCTCAAAATTACTGAGATCTACTTAATCCTAACCTCCAAATTACTGAGATCTACTTCACTTTAACCTCAAAATTACTAAGATTTACTATAAATTAACCTCCAAATTACTAAGACCTACTTCATCCTAACCTCAAAATTACTGACATCTACTTCATCTTAACCTCAGAAATACTAAGATCTACCTCATCTTAACCTCAAAATTACTGAGATCTACTTAATCCTAACCTCCAAATTACTGAGATCTACTTCACTTTAACCTCAAAATTACTAAGATTTACTATAAATTAACCTCAAAATTACTAAGATCTACTTCATCTTAACCTCAAAATTTCTGAGATCTCCTTCAACCTAACCTCAAAATTACTGAGATCTACTTCATCTTAACCTCAAAAATAATCATTTCTACTCTAATTTAACCTCAAAACTATTAAGATCTACTTTATCTTAACCTCCAAATTACAGAGATCTACTTCATTTGAACCTCAAAATTACTAAGATTTGCTATAAATTAACTTCCAAATTACTAAGATCTACTTCATCTTAACCTCAAAATTACTGAGATCTACTTCAACTTAACCTCAAAAGTACTCAGATCTACTTCATCTTAACCTCAAAAATAATCATTTTTACTCCAATTTAACCTCAAAACTATTAAGATCTACTTTATCTTAACCTCCAAATTACAGAGATCTACTTCATTTCAACCTCAAAATTACTAAGATTTTCTATAAATTAACCTCCAAATTACTAAGATCTACTTCATCTTAACCTCAAAATTTCTGAGATCTCCTTCAACTTATCCTCAAAATTACTGAGATTTACTTAAACTTAACCTCCAAATTATTGACATCTACTTCATCTTAACCTCAAAATTACAAAGATCTCCTTCAACTTAACCTCAAAATTACTGAGATTTACTTCAACTTAACCTCCAAATTATTGACATCTACTTCATCTTAACCTCAAAATTACTAAGATCTACTTTATCTTAACCTCGAAATTACTGAGATCTACTTCACTTTAACCTCAAAATTACTAAGATTTACTATAAATTAACCTCCAAATTACTAAGACCTACTTCATCCTAACCTCAAAATTACTGACATCTACTTCATCTTAACCTCAGAAATACTAAGATCTACCTCATCTTAACCTCAAAATTACTGAGATCTACTTAATCCTAACCTCCAAATTACTGAGATCTACTTCACTTTAACCTCAAAATTACTAAGATTTACTATAAATTAACCTCCAAATTACTAAGACCTACTTCATCCTAACCTCAAAATTACTGACATCTACTTCATCTTAACCTCAGAAATACTAAGATCTACCTCATCTTAACCTCAAAATTACTGAGATCTACTTAATCCTAACCTATAAATTACTGAGATCTACTTCACTTTAACCTCAAAATTACTAAGATTTACTATAAATTAACCTCCAAATTACTAAGACCTATTTCATTCTAACCTCAAAATTACTGAGATCTACTTCATCTTAACCTCAAAAATAATTATTTCTACTCCAACTTAACCATAAAACTATTAAGATCTACTTCATTTTAACCTCAAAATTACTAAAATTTACTATAAATTAACCTCAAAATTACTAAGATCTACTCCAACTTAACCTCAAAATTATTGAGAATTCCTAAAATTTAACCTCAAAATTCAAAAAACCAACCTCTCATTACTTAAAATCCTCTCATTACTACAAGAAACAACCCAACACACGTAAACGGAATGGCTAGAGGAAAGGATATTTTTTTTTGTTGTGCTGTATTCCACCATGCAAATGCACGGTACCCACACCAAACTCTTCTCCCCACACTGGTCACATATATTAATTTGAATTTCAGCCATATATTGTGATTATGTCGAGATCGAAGCGGCGGAAATTTTTTTTCTCCTCACGAAAAAATGAGATTTTTTTACTTTTTTTTTTGTTCGACGAAGAGCAAAAAAAAAATTTGAATTTTTTTGTCACTTTTTTTCTGCATTTCTCGGATTTCCTTTCGCCTCGCATACACATTTATAATTTTTTTTTCTCGCTCTCCTATGAGATATTATGTGGAATTTATGTGCTATTGAATGTGCTACGTGCATGCATGTGTGGATATAATGAAGTTGAATTTCAATGATTTCTATTGATTTTGATTAAAAGCGAGGGTGTTGGTGGGGAACATGGACGGACGGAATGGAGCGGATGGTGATTTACTTCTGAGATGAGATGGAAAAAAATTTTGTATTGTGTTGTTGGAGGATTTGCATTGAGGGATATTTATGCTGGATTGATGGTTTTGCGATGAGTTTTTGAGAAAGTTTTGTGTTTTGTTCATTATGGAAGCTATGTTTTTTATAAAATTCTGTCGTCTCGGAAGTTAATCATAAAGAAATTTCTATCATCTCGAAAGTTTAAAATTAAAATTTGGTCATCTCGGAAGCAACTAATCAAGAAAATTTGGTCATATCGGAACAAATTTGTAAAATTGGTCATCTCGGAAGTAAGCCATCAAGAAAATTTTGCCACCTCGGAAATAAATCTCTAAAATTTGTCCTCTCGGAAGCAAATTAACAGGAAATTTTGATCACCTAGGAAATAAATCAGTAAAAATTAGTCATCTCGAAAGTAAATGATTGAAATTTTGTTATCTCGGAAATAAATAGCTAAAAATTGGTCATCTCGGATAAAAAAATCTAAAAAAAACTGGTCATCTCGGAAGTAAATCATCAAAAAAATTTGGTCATCTCGAAAATAAATCACTAAAAATTGGTCATCTAGGAAGCAACTGATCAAGAAAATTTGGTAACCTAGGAAATAAATCAGTAAAAATTGGTCATCTCGAAAGTAAATGAGTGAAATTTTGTTATCTCGGAAATAAATAACAAAAAATTGGTTAACCTGAAATCAACCGATCAAGAAAATTTGGTCATCTTGAAAATAAATCACCAAAAATTGGTCATCTCAGAACCAAATTGTCAAAATATTCATTTACTTAAGAAAATGTGAAAAAAATTAATAAATTAAATTAAAATGCAATCTTTACCACTTCAATTTTATTCATAGATATTACAATAATTATTACATCAAATCTGAACTTAATCCCTACCTTGATAATTCTCAAAGCACTTCTTCAACTCAATCTTCAGCTGACCTCGATTTTTTGTCAAATCTCTAAAATTCTTGTTCACACAAAGATTGACCTTCAAGTTCCGGTCACCAAATCCAAGGTCAATAATTGAAATTCCAGTGTCGTCAATAACTTTTGGGTCAATTGAGTTGATATTGTTGTATTCCAGCGACAGTTCAATAAGATTTGGAAGAGATCCGAAGGAGTCTGAGTGAATTGTTGTTAAGTTGTTGACTGATAAGTCCAAAGACTTGAGGCTTGTTAGCTCAGTGAAGACATTTGCAGGAAGTTCCTCAATTTTGTTAAAACTTAGAAATAATTGTTGTAAATTTTGCAATTCAAGAAACCAGGCTGAATTCAAATTTTTAATCTCATTGTTGGTCAGCATCAAAATCTTCAAATTTGTAAGGGAATTGAAAATATTTGCCGGTAGGTTTGACAATTTATTCTTTTGTAGCTTCAAATTTTCCATATTTTCAAGATTTTTGAATAAATTTTCAGGCAAATTTGTCAATTTATTTTGACTTAAATCGATTTCAATTAAATTTTGGTTTTCTGAAAAGAAATTTTCTGGAATTTCACGAATTTTGTTGGTCGACAAGCTTAAAACTCTCAAATTATTGCAACTATTGATTGACTTTTCCTCAACATTTTGAATATTTACGTTGTATAAATTAATATTCTTGAGATTTACAAACTTATCACAAACATTTGATGGAAATTCTGTCGAATTTGAACGCGAATTTGCTGAAATTGATTCAATATCGTCATCTGATTTTTCATTGATATGCATGCCATTGATATCTTCTGAATGTTGAGCATTTTTCACATTTAAAACACATTTGTAACTTGATCTTTTGTCAATTTTATATTCACAACTCGTAAATCCATAAACAATTGCATTCTGCACCACAAAAATCCCACAAAATATCACAAATATTTTTAAAATCATTTTTTCAAAGCGACAGCGTCAAGCCAGACGCACACACAACTGACGAATGTAAAGCTGATTATTCGTTAATTTGTTGATTATTCATTTGAATTAAATGAAATGTGACAAGGTCAAGTGATTCGTCATTTAATTGAGGCGACTCGTGAGTAATTTTTTGAATTGAGATTAGAAGTTTATTGACCAATTTTAAGATTTAAAGTTGTGATGAATTTTTGCTTTACTTCCTTTGCTTTACTTCCTATAGTATCATAACATTATCATTGAAGCATTAATTTAACTGGGAAGTCTGCAACCTATGACATACAAGTTTAGGGTTGAAGCATAGTGACTCTAACATGTCAGGACAAGGGAACTTACGTATCGGATTTAGCCATACAATTGACTAACCCTCAATGGCTCAGTGCAGGGGTGCAGACATGAAGAGGGGGGAGGAGGGGGGGGGGGGGTCAACCCTACCACTTTATTTTTTTTCAATTTTCTAGGGTTTTTGGCGCATTTTTGAAACTTGTTTCTAAAAGGTAGCTTAATAATACACTTTGTTCGGCTGTTCGGCTGTTCGGGGCAAGAAAAACTTTTTAACCAGACATCGTAGAGAGCTTGGTTTTGGTTTATTAGCTCAGTTCTATCGAGTTATTGGTCGTTCAAACAGTCAAAAGTCTTAAAACAGTGTACTTATACTTTAAATAATGTTTTTTATTTAATTTCATATGAAAAACACGTGATGGGTGCGTTCAGAAAATTGAATTATTTTATACCGTTGTAAAAATTGTAACTACGGTGCGTCTAGAAATTCGAATTTTTTTTAACCGGTAAAAGATTTGAATTCCAAAAAACCGTTAAATGATCGTTAAATGAACGCTTTTCACTAAAGTGAATGAAAACAAAATAATTAGATAATCAAATACTGATCGCTAACACAAAAATGCGCTTAAGTCCCTCGATCAATAACACGAGGACTTCTTTAATTTTTGTGACAAAATTCCCAAAAAAAGTATTTATTAAATAACTCCTAATAATGCAGAAATAATTACAATTTCTTCATTAATTTCAACATTTCAATCTGTTGCTCCTTAATTTCACGATTTTCATCCCTCAACGATCTTACTTCATCCTTTAGTTCAGCAAGAATCTTTAAGATTTGATCATATTTTGAAGGATTCATCTCAGCTTCTTGCATGTTAATTGATGGGTAGGTTGTATTAAAAATCTCTTCAGTGGTAGCTAAAATAGAGGAGATTCTTAAAGTTTAACTTCATAGCTTAGTTTGTACAATATCCAGATCCAGACTCGAAAACTAGGTGGTATACCGCCAACTTCCATACAAATAACTCCAAATAATTCCAAATAACCCCAAATCACCGCCAAGTTTCCGAGCCTAGATCCAGATGTTCCAACGTTACAGTTTAAATATGATTTCACGTACTCTCAACTTCCTTTTGTTTCAATTCCTTGAAGTTGTCAAAGCAACTTCCTAACGCCGTTTGAACTTCAATGGAACCAGCTGTGACATTCCTCAACCGATTAGAATAACATTTATTTCTAAGCATCTCAAATAGAAGCATCGTCGGAGCAGCTATTAAAAACTTTTCATCAACAGCATTGATATTGTTGCTTTGAACATCAAAAAACTTTAAATTGTTGTGAATTCCAAAAGACTCAGCATCGATGACTGAAAGATTGTTGGCAGCAAGAATTAATCGATTGATTCCTTTTAATGCCACAAAGGTTCCTTTTGGTAGCTCAGAGATGAGATTTTCTGACAGCATTAACATCTGTAAATTCTGTAAGTCTTGAAACCATAAAGGATTTACCTCAGCGATCTCATTCTTGACAAGCAGCATCGATGTTAGTTCTGTGAGATTTTTAAAAATATTTTCAGGCAGGAATTTTATTTTATTTCCCATTAAATTCAAGCTTTTGAGATTTTGATTATTTATGAAGAAATCATCAGGTAAAGTGGTGATGTTGTTGAACATCAGGCTGACATGCTCTAGTTTGGTATTCTCAGAAAATAGGCTACCTGACAGCTCCTCAATGACATTCTCGTCCAAAACTACTTTTTGTAAATTCTTGCAATTTTTGAAAGCATTTTCATCAATTTGCTGAATTTTTGACGCTGGCATGTTAATCTTGTCTACATTCTTGAACTTTTCACACAGTCCTGCTGGCAAAAATTGCAAATTTGGAATTTTATGTTTCTGGATAGACACAACATCATCATCAGTCCTGCCTGATAAATGAACTCCACTAATTTCTAATATATTTTCAGACAGCTCAGCACTAACACTCAGTCTGCATGTATATCCCAATCTATTGTGGTTTTCATACAAACAGCTAGCAGATCCATCAACAAATTGACTTGACAGCACAAAAAATCCACAAAAAATTATGAAATTTTTAAAATTCATCTCTTATTTTGAGAATTATTAAAGCTCAACTGAGTTAATGTTAGAGCTGATTATGAAGTATATATTGCTGATAATTCTGTGGGGTCATTGATGCTAGATTGATACGAAAAATGACATCATGAGTGACTAATCACCTTTAAGAGTCATTTAATATGTTTTTTTTTGTGCTGTAAGTTTTAAAGTTTAAATGATTCCCGAATTGCACAAGTTGGTTGATCGAATAGAAATCTGGTCCCAAACACTGCTGGCCAGCACCATGCGAGAGCAACACCGGCTAGGTTCCGGATTTCTGATCGATTAAGCGACTTGTGCCATTCGAGATTATTGTTTCTTTAGATTAAAACTTTAATATGAGTACAAAGTCTAGGCAATACAGGAACAAGGTTTCAAAAATTTATTTAGAAAGGGTAATAATCAAACCTATCGAATCTATTAAGTCTAACCCACTCCATTCCCAATCTTGATTTACAATGAAATTTATTATTTTAATGAAAAAAATCAAAAGAATTGTTCAACTACACAGTTGAATTTTCAGTTGTTGTAGATTGCTTGTCCATTTCCTGCTTTACCTGATTGAATAAAAACATAAAGTTCTTCAGCAGTTCCTCTCCATCAACTTGATCGAATAATGAGACTGCAGGTGTTGTTGGTTCTGGTTCTGATTCATCGACATTAACTAAATTAGATTAGAGATTTAAAATAAATAATTTTTTGAGGTTATGTTATCTAAAATGACAGGAACTCCGAATGGTTTAACTCAGTGTTGTCCAAACTGTGTGCCACGGAACACTGGTTTGCTATAAAAATGACGCAAACCGGATGCTGTGTGCGATGGATTATCTCCAAAGTGTGCAGGGGTTAAAAAAGTTTGGACAACACTGGTCTAGCTTAACCTCAACCTAATCTCAATCTTAACCATATTAAATTAAAATATTAAAATGTTTACTTACTTCTTCCACCAACTTCAACTCGTGGTTGATAATTCTTAAAGCAGGTCTTTAATCCTTCCTTCAAATCAGTCTTATCGCCATCTTTATCATAAAATTGGTCACTTGTGCAGCTATTACTCAAAAATTGAAGATACTTCACGCTGATATTATCAATAAATTTCTCATCAATGGCATTAATGCTGTTGTACATCAAGTTGATGTGCTCAAGCTTTGGATGTTGACCGAATGAGTCTGAATGAATGACTCGGATGCGATTGTACGATAGCCAAATTTCAGCCAAATTTTTGAGTGATGTAAAAGCATTTTTGGGGATTTCAGTGATGTGATTGTCATTGAGGTACAATATTTGTAGATTTTCAAGGTTTTCAAACCATGCTGTTTTGATGTTATAGAAGTTATTCTTAGATAAGTACAGTTCATGGAGGTTGGTAAGTGGCTTGAAAAAATTATCTGGTAATGTTCGTATTTTGCTCTCTTTAATCGATATTGAATATAAATTTGGATTATTTATAAAGAAGTTTGTAGGCACAGAATGAAGATCCTTTAAGCTAGCTTCAAAATTAGTCAATTTTGGATTCCCAGCGAGTAAATTTTGAGGAAGATTTGTGATGTAAGAGCTCGAGAACTGATCAGTTCTTAAAATTAAACTCTTTAAATTCTTACAATCGCTGAATGAATCTTCTGGAATTTCGTTCATCACAAGTCTTCGTAGGAACAATCGCTCGATATTCTTGAACTTATTACAGACATAAGGTGCCAATTTAATATTGTACATGTCGCTGTAGATCCAAATTCCCATAACATCATCATCAGTCTTTCCATCAAGATGAGTTCCAGTAATTTCGGTAAAATTGCTCATGTCTTGAGCATTGTCGTAGTAAAAGGTACATCCATAGCCAGTATATTGATTAACTTCATATTCACATTCACCGCGACTTGCAAGTACCTCAAAATTTTTTAAAATTGAGGAAAAAAGTATGAAATAAAAAATCTTAATCCTCATGTCTCGATTATGAAAACTACAAATTAAAACTGATTATTAATGAACAGTGTTGCAAATGTAGATGTCTACACTAGATGAAGAATGTAGATTCTTCAATAGTTTTTGTCTAGCTAAGAAACTTTCTTCATAAAGATCGATTCTACATGTAGAAAGAAAAAAACCATCTACATGTAGATTGTGTCTACATGTAGAATCTGTCTACATGTAGATTCGATGTAGATGTCTATAATTCTACATTTTTTCCAGGTCTACATCAGAGAAGAATGTAGAATCGTAGACATCTACATTAAATCTACATGTAGACAGTTTCTACATGTAGACACAATCTACATGTAGATGGTTTTTTTCTTTCTACATGTAGAATCGATTTTATGAAGAAATTTCTGTCTCAGAATTTATCTGGTCCAGACAAATAGCCAGAATGCAACACTGTTAATGAAATATTTTTAATTATTTTTATAGCCAAAATTAAATAATCATGTAAGGTTCTAGATTACAATGAACTTGATTTTAAAGTAAATAAAAAAAAAATGTTGATAATGACATTGACTTAATTCGGTTGAAAAATTGCGATAGGATTAGAATTAGTCCCGAGCAACACAATGTTTTGTTGTTTGGTTGGCGACTGGAAGCTTTTCAATAAAATTGAACTTTTGGTTTGCTTTTTGTTTTTTTCGTCAATGAAAGCTTGTGTTGTCAGAATGTCAAAAACTTCAGTTGTTGGGAGGTCTCAATTGCTGTAACATGCTGTAACACTGAAGAGTGTTAAGCCGAATAAAATTCTATGAGCGTATAGGAAGAAATTTGACAATCCTGAAATCAATAAAATCTTGAACACGATTCATGCTACTTGTGTATGTAGTCTAAGTATTTTAAACTTGATTACTTGAAAATGGAACACTTTATCGAAATCACACACAGCATGTCTTTCGATTGAGAAAACCAAATGCCTTACTCCGAAGCTGACCAAATATTAAATGCATAACTTCTTATGGTTACCGCTAAAAGCACCGCTGGCAACCAAGACCAATGCCGGGATAAAGGATACGTTAAAGGACAGATTAAAAGCCTTTTTGGAGGCAGCCCAGGCTAGGCTTAGCATGGTGAGGTTTACAACCAACCGTACCCGAAATCAACTTGTACGAAGAAAGCAAAAGAAGGTAATCAATCATGTCTTTGGTGACTTTTCTAAAATTTGTTGCAGCATAACGTTTATACTACACTGGTTCATGAGGATGAATTGGTATTTCGACCATTGATTATTATATTTAATCAATAAATAGGAATTAATCTCAAAAAAACGCAAATTAATTTTAATTTATTCAATTTTTTTACATTGTTGAATTTTCAGTTGTTGTAGATTGCTTGTCCATTTCCTCCTTTATCTGATTGAATAAAATCATAAAGTTCTTCAACAGTTCTTCTCCATCAACTTGATCGAACATTGAAACCGCAGGTGTTGTTGATTCCGTTTCTGGTTCCTCTACGTCAACTATTGTGGATTATAAAGTGATTTTTTAAGGTAGGTTTATATAAGATGATGTAACTTTGGACTAAGCCCAAGAAAATTAAAGATGACCTGGCTTTAGAAGCATATTCAGAAGGGAGATCAGGGAAATCTACATCATCGATAATCAATACAAGACTTACCTCTCTCAACAACATCGGCTCGTGGCTGATAATTCTCAAAACACGTCTTCAAGCCTTCCTTTAAAGCAGTCTTATCGCCATCTTTATCATAAAATTGTTCATTTGCGCAGTTATTGCTGAAAAATTGAAGATGCTTAATGCCAATGTTGTCGATAAACTTCTCATCAATGGCATTAATGCTGTTGTACATCAAGTTAATGTTTTCTAGCTTTGGATGTTGACCGAATGAGTCTGAGTGGATAGTTTTGATATTGTTGAAGGAGATCCAAAGATCATTTAAATTTTTAAGTGCTGTAAAAGCATTTTTGGGGATGTCAGTGATTTGATTGTCGTTCAGGAACAAAGTGTCTAGATTCTCAAGGGTTTCAAAATAGCCTGGCTTGACCTTCTGGATAATATTTTTGGATAAAATGAGTTCTTTAAGGTTGACTAGTGGTTTAAAGATGTGCGTCGGTAAAACTTTGATTTTATTATCCTTGAGTGAAATTCTGGTCAAGTTGAGATTGTTTTCGAAGAACTTAAAAGGCAGTGACCTCAATTTTTGTAAATTAGCCTCAAAAACTTTCAACTTTGGATTTCCAGCGAGTAATTTTGTAGAAAACTTAGTGATGTATTTGCTTGAGTATAATGAGCTTTGAAGCTTTAAGTCCTCTAAATTTTTGCACTTTACGAATGTATTCTCAGGAATTTCCTTCAAAACCAGCCGTTGGAAAAATAATCGTTGAAGATTTATGAACTTAGTACAGAGATATTCAGGTAGCTTTGAAGTCGTCATATCCGCATAAACCCAAACACCAAGAACATCGTCATCAGTCTTCCCATCAAGATGAGAACCACCGAGCTGTGTAAATGTTGTGATATTGTCTGGTTCGTGGAACTTCACAGTACAGCCATAGCCAGTATATTCATTTGTTTCGTAGATGCAATCGCCACTTAATGCGAGAACTCCTGAACTTATTAAAGTTAAGGTTAAAATCACAAAAAATATAATTTTGAAGCTCATTTTAAGAGTCTTAATTAGGAGAGATTCAGACTAAAACTGATTAAAATTGATTATAAATTTATTTACAGGAAGATGGTTCTGTGTCTGATTAATAACAACTTGCGTAGTAATATTTGATAACGGTTGACTTTTTATGCGAACTGTATGAAATATATAAGGAGAAGGGGTACTTGAGGGGTCCTCGATTTAAATAAATTCAATTTTAGTAGGATTTGTTAAGGAACAGAATGGCTACTCAGATCCAAGATCGTCATGAGTTAAGCTGGTTAAGCATCAAATTGAGTATGCAGGCTTTAATGTATCTAATGCTTAAATGCTTGATGTGTTAATTAATTCCAATCTTGCCGAGCGAGATGAAGTTGAGATTCGGTGAAATAGCTCAAAATTGGATATACTGTAACTCGACAAGGAAGCCTTGACAAAATTTGACGATATTATAGCAAAGATTTCATTTTGATTAGAGATACCATGCTGACGTACTTCAGACACACTAAGACCTCGATAGGTCATGGGCAAAAAAAGGGGAAAACCTGATACGAACAATTCGGTGGTTTCGACCGTTACAGTTTCCAAGAAAACTTGTGAAAATATCTTATTTGTCTGTCTGTCATACAAAATTCGAGGTTTCATACCCTGCAGTTTGAAATTTTCGAAAATTTGGAAAAAATAAAAACTTAAATTAAGCAAGATTTATATGAAATTTAGATAAAAATATTATGTAATCATTTAATAATATGCATAATATAGCTGAATCTTTTCTAAAACCATCAAAAACTCTACTAAAATGACTAAAAATTGTAACGGTTTTTTCAAATTTAAATTTTTCGAACATGCATATTATAACACCCTTAAACTTTCGATAAGTCTGTCGAACACGAATTGTTCGTATCAGGGGAAAACAACATGAAAGAAAAATATTTTCATGATTCTATCAATTTCAATCTTTTGTGTGATCTTGAATTTTAAATTAAAACATTTTGTCATCATGTTGTTATCCCCCTATTTCGGGTCCTAAGGTTGCATGGCAAGTGACGACAATCTTTAATACTCCTGTTGTTTAATATATCATTCTAAAGAAGTGAATATATGTCAAATCGTCAACATTAGTTTAACGGCTCTTTAAAATTTGAATTTTTGATTATGCACTTTTGATATTTGTAAGGTTTCTAACTTTTACTGTGCAAAAAGTTTCGATTATCTTCATTTTGAAATGCAAAACCTGCAAGATTCATAGAATTTCACAAACTATTTACTCATTTGAGATTTGACATAGAACCTTTATAAAGAATCATTTCAATTTTAATTCATAACTTGCCAAAAATAAAATATTATCCTTAATTTTTAAGCCCTTCGGATTCCCCTCGTCATTAAATATTTGTAAACAAAACAAAGATTATTCTTTAAAAATTTAGAATAAAGGAACAATAATAATGGAAGAACCGATAAAGACGCAATCGTTGCGTTATGTGTCACTCGATGGACATGCAAACTCCTTTGCGCTTAATAAAGAGAACAATTGCATTGCTGTCGCTGGTCGATCGCGTGAGTAAAATAATAAATTAATCAAAAATTGACACAAAATTATGATTTTTTAAATTTTTAGTGCTGAAGGTCTACATGATCAATAATGACTCATTCTCGGAACTGCATAACATGAGACATCACAACTTATCTTACAGTTCCAACGCAATTGCATGGTCTCATCTGAATACTGTAAGTATTATGAATCACATGTTTTGAGCCATTTGCAATTGATTGTCCAATGACTCCTTAAAATATTCAAATATTAATTCTTGTCAACAAATTTAAACAATGACTCAAAAAAACATGAATATTTTCAGAATATTTTAGCAACAGCAGCAACCAACGGCTGTATAGCCATCTGGGATCTTCAAAAATTTGGTCGGCAAAAGCAACTGACTGTCTATGAAGACCACGAACGCACAACACATGCTGTGACCTTCCATCAACAAGATCCAAATTTTTTACTCTCAGCCTCACAAGACTCGACATTAAAGCTGTTTGATCTACGCGAGAAACCAAACTGTGTCTCAACATTTCAAAGCACTGAGTCGGTTAGGGATGTAAAGTTCAATCCATACAATTTCAACTCATTTGCATCGGTTAGTGAGAATGGATGTGTTCATCTTTGGGATGTGAGGAGACCTGAGAAGTTTGTGCAGTCATTTACAGCACATTCTGGACCGATTTATTGTCTTGATTGGCACCCAACTCAGCAATGGCTAGCAACAGGCAGTCGTGACAAGCTCATCAAAATCTGGAATATGTCTAACACCAAACCAACCCTCGAGCACACAATCTACACAATAGCAGTCGTCGGTCGAGTCCGATGGCGACCAGACAGAAAATTTCACATAGCTAGTTGTTCCTTAGTCGTTGACTATTCAATTTACATTTGGGATGTTCGTCGTCCTTTTATTCCATATGCCAGCTTTAATGAGCACACAAATGTTACCACAGATATTGCCTTTAAGGGAGCACCAGACACTCTCATTTCAACCTCAAAAGACTCGACAATTTATAAACACATAACGAAAGATGCTCAGCATCCAGCATTAGCTGCCAATCCACAAAGTGCTGCAATTAATCCGAAAGGTGAAATTTTATTCGTGAGCAAATCGAAAGTCAAGACGCAGCCGGTTCTGACGTCATCCTCGTCTAGTTTGAAGCTTTCAATTTTATCATCAGCTAAGAAGTTATCACAAGATACAGTCGATGCTGCAGTGCCTGAATCAACTCATGAACAATTCCATTTGGCTAAATCATCGCTGCATTACTTCACAGACCAATGTGAACAACCATTAAGTGCTATTAGTGATGTGGCACTTACCAAAACCCTCCATAAAGATTATATATTTTTTGTTAAATGCGCCAAAGAATACAAATTAAAGCCTGAAGGTCAACTTGATTTTTTGGATATGCTTGAGCATAATTCTCTTGTCGCCCGAAAGTACGGACGTCCAAATGTTGCGATGTTGTGGAACTTAGTCAAAATGATTTACAAATCGACGCCGCAGAAGAAGCAAGCTGTTAATAATTTACTGACACAGACATCAAATCAGTCGAGCTCAGAACAAAGTGCAATCACAAGAGGTGGATCATTTGGAACAGCTGGATTAGCCATACTAAATGGAAGTAATGGAAATGTCACAGCTAATCATGTCGGATCTGGAGAGAACATTTCATCAAATGACGAGATCCTAAATGATTCAAATGAGATTGGATTAATTACGGTACCAAAGGTTCCAGTTCCTGACATTGAGGTTGAGATATTTGATGATGGCATGGCTCAAAATGAATTGGACTGTAGGAATTTAAGGAATGGATTTTTGTATACTGGACCTCATGATAATTTTGTTAAGGACTTTCCAATGTGTTCATCATCGTTGATTAATCATGAGCTGATGCACTCACATTATAGGAATCACCGAAGTGAGATGGAGAGAGAGGTAATTGAGACATCGCCGCCTCCTGAACAGAGCTTCTTGCAGGGTGAGTTGATTTAAATTTTCTAATGAATTTTTCAAGATTTTCCTCGAATTTTTCTTAACTTTTCCTTCAATTTTCAATTTTAGTATCCGACACAATCCTCATCCAGCACTGGCAGCCATACCAAGTCTTAGCCGATAATCTCATTACTCAGTCAGAAAGTGGTGACGTACAAACACCAACTTGCATTCTCATATGCCTTGGAAAGAATCGAGAAGATCTTCCAATTGATAGATTCACACAAGAGAACTTCCTGCAAGCTTACATCGACATGCTGCACAGACATCAAATGTGGAATGAAGCTACAAATGTCATTAACATGTCATGGATACCAAACATAGCTGAAATGAATGAACAATCAACAAATATAAATACAGCATGTGGAGAGTGTGGACGAGCAATATCAAGTGGATTTTATTGTAAGAATTGTAAGTCAGCAGATCCATCAAGATGTGTTGTCTGTAATGAGATTGTAAGAGGAATGTTTACGTTCTGTAATCACTGCTGTCATGGTGGACATATGCATCATATGATGGAATGGTTCATGCAAAATCCTAGATGTCCAAAGTGCAATCACTTATGTGAATATGATTAGGAAGTAAGGATATATATATGAGGATGAAGATTTTATAGGAAATAATAAATAATATATTTTTTGATTATTTAATATTGAGTCTTACTTTATTGTGTAGCTAATTTTTTATAGTAAACTTTTAAAATTAGAGCTGTACCCTAACAGACAAAAGGCTTGACATGAAAGCATAATCAGAACAATTCAACAAATCTATAGATGTGTCTTGATTATGATGATTTGTTTCTCAGAGTGCTTAAAATTGACTTAAGTGTAACTTAAGCTCGAGCCAATTTTTTGGGCTAAGCTTCTCGAACTGATTTTTAATTCCAGGGAAGAAAGCTTTCAAGTAACTGTTCTCTTTGTCTGTTAGAGTAACTTTAACTCCATTTGAATGATTGAGTATTTGATACTTGGTTGCAGCCAGACACTTGACAGGAATCAAGAGAGAGGAATAGTCCAATCCATCCCAAAATGTCCCTATTTACAAATTTAAATATGTGGTGACTGCTTCCTGGCTACGCTCATGCCGATATTGCTTCTTAAACAATCTTTTATTATACTAGCTGTATGTTTAGCCAATATCTCATTTAAAACACTTACTCGAGATGAAGAGATCAAAATAATCAAAATAATCAAAAATAAATATAAAAGGTCGTTCATCCATAACGTCCGTCAGAAAAATAAAATAATTTTTAGACCCCTCTTCCGCTCTGTCATAAAACTTCAATGGAAAAAAGTTTGAACTGTCTTAAAATCCTAGACCTATCCTCTTACATATTCGACGTCATATATGAATGACCTCTATGTTAATCAGTTCCAAGCTCATGCTTTTTAACTCACCGAGTCATTTGCAACTTTACTAATGATATTAATTAAAGATTATTTAGAAAAAATGTCCTCAATAAACAGTTAAGTTCCATCGACGCCGTCGATGGAAACTTTTGATTTTCCAGGACTTGATAATTCAAGTCCAATGAAAAGTTTCCTTTCGTGGTTGGGGAAAGGCCCTTCCTCTACCACGATACGCTGATCTCTGTTCTTTAATAACAGCCGAAGCTAATTGAACAAATAATTTTCATTATTATCTTCTGTCCTGCATACTTATTCACCTTGATACCATTCATAGCCAGATTGTAAGGCTTTCAAAATAGGCTCACAATTGTCACGGATGTAATCAGATAAGACAATTTTGTGTTCCTCAACGTTGATGTAGATTGAGAATTTATGGATATGCTGTAAACTGAATGTCTTTAAAGATGGCAATCGCACAACTTCTCCAATAATGTCAGGGATGTCTAAACTTGATGAAATTGCATTAATCTTGAAATGCTCAACATTACTGATGCTGTTAAAGAACCCACGAAGGTAAAAATCCGTCCATCCAAGTTTGTCGATTTCGATGAACTTGATGTTAGGTAAATTGAGGTCCTTGAGGCTTCCACAGTGAACATTGCTGATTTTGATGCTTGTAATTGAGTTGAAAGTTAGTAAATCAGGTGTAGCATTTGGTGGCAGAATTGCAATCGGATATCCACACTCAAATGATTGGACATTCTTAAGATATTCAGTGATGTCTATTAAGTTGCAGATCTCTGTGCTGTATTTGACACACTTGATGGAATCTTCTATAAAACTCGTGATGACTTTTAAATCAACTGGCTTGAAGACCTCTACCTTGTTGAGGAATGGAAGGCTGATTGATCTTTTTCTCAACTGGATTTTAACATAATTTTTTACATCAATTTCTGATACATCCAAAGACAACTGCTCGACATTTGGGATTTTAGGCAACATCATCTTCAAGAACTTAATGACTCGTCGATCAATTTTAACTTCGATGTTTCGCAATTTTCTTCCATAATTCCTGATAAAATTACGTCTTACTTTATCGTTCTTATAAAATGTTGTCGTCATCTTCCTCATAATCCCGATTTCATCGAAAAATGTTGTCAATGTTCTTCTGGATGTTGATATCAAGCTCATTCTATCTTCAGGACATGTCAAGAAATTGAAAATATAGAGGAGGACATCGATTGGAAGTGTTTTCTGTAAAATTTTTCAATTTTCGACAATGAAATAAAAATTGATTAAAAAATTTTCAGATTCTTACGAATTTATTCGGTGTCTTTTGGCATGCGACTTGATGCTGGTTCTTTGCTTTATCTTTTAAACGTTTCATTTTGATGAAAAACTCAACAGTTTGTTAGATTTTTATGTAATTAATTTTTTCTTTGTTTTGAGAATTGAATTTCAAATTTTATTAAACCGTTAAAGATAATTTTGCGTAATGGAAAACTTTATTAAGACAACTTTTTGATATTGTAAAAAATTAAGACAAAATTAAAAGAATTTGGTATGATTGATTTTGACAAATCAAATTAAGGTTTTGTATGAATCAGTTCATTAAAGTCAACTCAATAATATGAAAAATCTTCGTCTGATTTTTCCTCAGTTTTGCTTTATTGTCAATTAATGATTTTTACGATATAACTAATTTTAGTACACTGATTTCCAAACAATAAGTCATTGGCTCATGTGTAATAACATAATCAGCGCTGATCCTATCCAATTCATATCCTATTACAAAAGAAAAATTGACTCAAGAATTAATATTAATTTCATCTAGAATTCTCCATCGACTTGTATCTAGTCCTTTATTCTGATGAAGTAGTTTTGTCAAGTTTGTGTGATTATTAATAATTGTAGATGCAAATATCCATACTGTTGTCAGTTAAACATGACGTGACATAATAGAACTTTGAGGCAAGTGAACGAATTAGAACAAAGTCAAGGCATGGAAACTATCCCAAATATCCCATATATTCAAAAAATATTCAAAATAATCCCTGAGCCTGTATGCATTAGAATTGAGATATCCCATCATATCCTGAAATTACACGTCCAATACACTAAGGATACGTTGGGATATCTTTATTATCGTGCATAAATGCTCAGGAATTTTTTTAATATTTTTGGATAAGTGGGATAAATATGATATTTGGGATATTTTTTTCAACTTTTGAAAAAATTGAAATGTCCTCTAAAAAACCAAGCATGTGGTCAGCGTAGACATGTCTCGATTTCAGCTCTGAAAAGCGTGGCAGACTAAATTTTCGAGCATTTTCTAAGAAAAAATAGCAGAGCTTTAAGTCGATGAAATTTTACATAGAGTCAAGTCGACTCGGAGTCAACTCCACCATATAAAATCGATGAAAATCTCGTATCGACTTAGAGCTCTGGAAATTAGTTCGAAAAATCGGATTTCAGGCGAGATTTTGTCCAAAAAAAAGCGGGTCTGTTCCACTCAACAGTGTGCAGCTAGACAGCTTTGGCAAATGCACAGTTAAACCTTGAAAATTATGTTCTGCAATGTTAATATACTTTTTAAATATTCTTATAATTTAAATTCTTAAAAAAGTTCTTTTTTAGAGAAACAAAGGCTCAACATGAGCTAAGATAATGAACGTTGCGACAAATTTAAATATGTTTTGAAACACGGATGTGATTTTTTTGATACAGGTATTGTAAAAAATTTTAATTTTAAACAAAGTTTATTATTTAAAAAAAATCAACTTTAGGTTTGATTTGAAAAAGTTGAAATTTGAAAAATATAATAAAATAGTTCCCGGTTATTAGCTTTTGGCTATGAATACCAATTGACAGGTCTACCAGCGTGAAGGTGAAACAAGGACTTTAGACCCATGAAAAAAATTTATTTAATGACAATACAAAATCGTTTTAATTTAACTCCATGTCCTTTATACATTCTAAAGTTATCTTTATAAAAAACTTTATATGCTGGTTTGTCAATCAGTCTTTTGTTTAATTTCAGAACCAAGAATTTAAAGCTTAAAAGAGCCTTTTTTGGCTCCGAATTGAGAGCTAAATATACATCAAATGGAAAATACCAAGGATCACAAAATATCAAAGTCCGTAGGTCAAAAAAGCTTATAAATGCAGTATGCTGTCGCAAAGTATAACATTTTTCTACGCGGAAGCAGTTTTGTACTGCATTAAGATTCCACGATGTAAATTGATCCCTTTTGCGACAGCATGCAGCATGGTTGAATTTGTAGCACAAAATTATTATTTCTAGACGTAAACTTTGGAATAATTCAGTCAATTCGTTGCGTTGACCTCGATTCCAAGACCAAAGATGTTTTTTGCCTGCTGAACATAGTCAGCATCAACCCACAATTTAGTCAAACCTGGTACATTAATTCTTATAATATCCAATCTTTCCATTTCTCTTGGTGCTTTAGAATCAATTGAAATTTCCTTCAAATTTGTCATAACAGGAAGGAACTCCTGCAATAAAACATTAATGTTGCTGTCTGGACTTTGAATTTTTAGGCTTTTTATATTTCGAAAGTTCTTATAAAGACCTAAGAATACTCCAAAAATTCTTCTGTAACCGCTTGTGTCGAGAATCTCAAGATTTTCAGCATTGCTGAATAATTCTGTTCGAGGATTAATTAACATCTCAATTTCACTGCTGTCGACGTCCGTTTGGCATAGATGAAGTTTGAAGCTTTTTATGGCTGTGAAAGAAATAAAATTGAATCTGGGGTGAAGGATCGATTTTTCATGCCAGGAACCTCATAAAAAATTAAAGTCCCAATGCATGGTAAGTGGTTGCTTCTAAATGACCCTTAAATGTGGTGCATGGTTCCAAAGACCACCTTTTTTTTGCAACATCCTTGATTGAAGATTAATTTATATTAATAATAATAAGCTACTTACTGGGAAATTGCCTGAACATCTCAAACATTGCGCATAGCTGAATCTCAGTTGCCATAAATTCAAGAACAGGCTGAATTTTCCGATCATAAATCAAAGGAATCTTTCCGTAATAAAATTGATCCAAACCCATCTGCTCGATTATAAATTTAAGAACATTCCCGCCATCAAAGTCGTAAGGAAGTTGATGAATAACAAGTTCCTTCAAAAATCCTTTTTGTGCCTCCAAAAATGTTTTTCTTGCAGTTCTGATGCCAACATACCAGTGAAATGTGATCATTGATGTATCCAACCTTCTTATTTTGTATGGGAAACGGTCACAATCAAAATAGCTGCCTGTACCTGAACCATCCATAATGATTGAGTCAATATTTGGCAAAGCCTTCACCAAATCATTGAAATCATCGTGTGAGAAGCCGTTCCAGGTCCAGTCAGGATTTTGAATTGTGATTTTGGTGATGCCTTCTTGACGATGAAACAGCTTGAAAAAGTTTCCGTCACATTTTTCGAAAGTAACTTCCACTAGTGATGGCATTGCTGGTAAATGTTGGAATTTGACTTCTTCAGAAATTTGACAATTTTTGAATTTTAAGATTCGCAACTTCTCAAAGCCTTGAAAAAAATCCAAAACTTCACTAATTTGATTCCTTTTAAAATCCTCAAGTTCCAGAATTTCTATCGATCCTTTCATGTTCTTTATAATCTTTGTGAATTGCTTTAGATGTTCATAGCCTTGGGAACTCTTTGCAAAGACATTGCGAAATTGAATATTAGACAAATCGGCACGTTTCTTGAAGGTTTCACATTTTCCAGCAGTAAGTGTCAACTGATGGCGCAACATGAGTTTTACAGAACTTCCAATGTACTGTGCACATCTAAGTTAATAGAAAAATAAAATATTAAATTGTGGCTTAATTAGGTTTAAAAATCAAACATTTTGAAAATAAAGCAGATACTTACATTGGCGATAGCAGCATCATCATCCATAGCGAAGCGAAATCCAAGTGATCAAATATATGCAGCCAAACATATTCAGGGAGTGTGAGCAGCATTTTATAGTTCTAAAAAGAAAATTTAAATATTCACTTTTGAAAAATGTGTCTTTGTTTTCTAAAACAAAACATAAACAGTATCTCTCTCTCTCTCCCGCTCTTTTTTGCACTCTCGCGCGCTTTTTTGCACTCTCGCGCTCTTTACTATGAAATAGTGTGTTTACAAAAATCATATGATCGTAAACAAAATAAACCCAATGGTAACAAAGCCACGTGATCTTTGATGAGAGTCTAAACTTCTTTAAATTTAAGAAATATTCTGCTTACTAATTAAGGAACTGAGTAAATTAAGAGAATTTCCCAGTTTTTGATTGAATATTTACCGACACAAAGGTAAACATTTAACTCAACGTCTTATCATCTAATACAAATGTATTAACTATTAAAGACGTCAAAACAAAATGACATCCTATTGAGTTTTACAAATGTATTATAATATCAGTAAAATGAATCCGAGTCTTAAAATAATGAGAAATAGTAATTTACCCAAGGGGCCATTCACTTATTACGTAACGCTTTTAGGGGGGGGGGGGGGGGAAGGGGTCTAAGATTTTGTTACGGTTCAAACAAGGAAATTTTTTTTTCATACAAATTTTGTTACGAGGGGGGGGGGGGGGTCTAAAAAGTCATTTTTTCGCGTTACGTAATAAGTGAACAGCCCCAACGGGATTTCCTAATTTTAAAAACTTGTTCAGAAAATTTGCTTTTTGTTAATATGTCCGTAGTCAAGTTGATATCCAACAATTTGTTTGATCAAATCACAACTTTTAAATACAAATAACGACTTAAAAACCATTTTCAGTACCTTTTATTCAGAAAAAAATGACATTAAAATTATTGATGACTAGAATACCAATTAACTATTACATCATAACTGCAAATCGAGTGATAACGAAACATTCTTGTTGCTTTTAAAGATTACAAAACAAAATATTTTTAATTAAAAGCTGCGGTTTAGCCAACAAAATGATGAAAATGTCATCGGAATCAATAATTTTCTTGAAACCACAAAGCTTGGGGGACGTTCATTTATGACGTCCAAGTCCTTCTCCCTCCCCTTAGAGGGGGTCAGTAAGAAAACCTGGAAACACATTGTTCTTTTTTTGTAAAATGACCGTTAATTTTGGACATCATAAGTGAACGATCCTTTGAGACGTTGCTACAAAAAACTAATTTTTGTGATTTTTTCTTTGTCAAAAGCAATTTTTTTTCACTTTTGCCTTTTTTGTGTCCTTGCAAATGATATAGACTGCCCATTATTGCGGACGAGTATAGCAGTAACCGAACTGACCTGATATGACTCAAACTTTTGAGTGGGACAGACCTTCTTTTTGAGCAAAAATCCAACGTCTCTTTCAGGGTCGACTTTTTCAAAAAAAAAAAGTTTCATGATTTTAAAAGAGTTTTAGCCAACTTTAGGCTGTTTCGTTTAAACTAAAAGCGGATCATTGTTTGAATCGTCAAACTTTTCGATGAACAACCTTTGTATGAGAAAGGAAGAAGACGACAAATTAAACTCAAAACGATTGCTTTAAAATAGAATTATTGATTCAATTCAGAGTCACACAGTTTAAGCCAAGGTATGGAACCTCAGGATAAATACTGAAAAATTCCAAAAAAAACTTACTGAGCCAATAAACATGAAAATGTGAAATCCCTTTTAAATTCTGAAATTATTCATCAAATGCATTTCAATTTTTAATGACTCAGGGAGTTTTTTTGGAATTTTTCAAGATTAATCCTGAGTTTCCTTGCCTTGGTTTAAGCAAATTTTGTCAACTTATTTAAAATGTGAAATTCTATTATTGTAAGCTGAATCGACAATTTATTTTATATACAGTAGCGAGTAAAAGTAATTGGCCACTCACATTTTCTGCTCTATCTTTTGATTGGAACCACGAAAAGTGATGAAATTTTCACCAATTATTCCATTTTTTAATACTAATACACTAATATAAGCCTTCATTCATAATTCATTCATCTTTGTACAGTTTTTCCACAAGGGAGTTTTTTTGAGGTAGCAAAAGTAATTGGCCACTTTTTAGATTACAATTGTTCAAAGTTAATCATAGAATTGAATATTTATTTGAACTTATTCTGGTAAAAAAGACAATTTATAAATTTTCAGAAATGATTTTCTTCAATATTCAACATTTAGTTCGCTTAAAAATCATGGTGAAATATAGTATGTCCAAAATAGAGGTTTTTACCCTTTTTTGTTAATTCAACATTACTTAAATTAAAAATAAAGATACGATTTACATTCTCCTTATCAATACCTTTATTTTGATATACAATATGCCATACTTTCTTTCTATTTCACTCTTATAAATCATATTTAATCATTACAGCATGAACAATTTGCAGGGAAACTGACATTTGGAGGTGAGTTTTCTCCCAACCTCCGAATGAGGAGGTTGTGGAATTGTGCAATACTTCAAAATTAATTAATTACGCGTAGGAATAAGTCACAAACCTTCGGAAAATGTCTTCAAAGTAACAAAGAACAAAGATACCAAGGAGAAAACTCAGCAAAGTCGCGATTTAATTAAATTTTGGATATAAATTGAAATTGAAAAAAAAAAAAATGTGCAAATTTTGAACATAACCTAGACAAAACGGAATTGATCATCATCGGAATACCAACGAACATTTAATTACATTGACAAATCACGATCGGCGGCAGTTGTGAGGAGAATCAATTGTTTCACGTGGGTTTTTTGTGTTTTACCAACAATCGTGGACAAGAAGGTTCTATCATAACCATAACCTAGACATTGAATATTATTGGAATACAACGGAATATCGTCAATTGTGAGGAGAATTTGTCTCGCGATGGGTTTTGTGTGTTTCCCCATATATCGCGGGCAATTCTATCAATCAATTGGTGCTGACTGGATTTCAACAAATCAACATTGACAAACAGGAATCGATCATCTCGGAATACAGCAGATCATATTAATTAAATTGACAGATCACAATCGAGACATAAGAAAAAATTGAATCTATTTGGAATATCACAAGTTAAATTACAAGGACTGTCAAGGGATCTGGATCATCGACAACTGAAGATGGAATTTTTTGCTTAACGATGGTTTTTTGTTGTTTTGACTTATCGCGGGCATGTTTTCTGTCAACCATTTGGAGTTGACTGGATTTTATTGATTGTTCTTTGAGTATATTTGTAAATTAAACTACCTGGAACTGTAAACGGTCTTTAAATAGCAATAAGCTGATGGACCATAATAAAGTTAATTAAGAAGAAGAAGAACATTTGGAGGTTCCTAAAACCTTATAACAGCTTCCAAAAATTATGTTATGCACATATTTCTATAGATTATAGTCTGCCAATCATTTTGATATATCATACATGCATATTCATAAGCAGACTCTGCAGTTAAAGATGGCTAAAGGTAAAGTGTTTACAATATCCTCGAATTTCTTAAAGTTTTCTTACAAACTTTTGAAAATTGATCTGATCACTTTTTTGACTTTGCAGAACTGCAGAGTCTGCTTATGAATATGCATGTATGATATATCAAAATGATTGGCAGACTATAATCTATAGAAATATGTACATAACATAATTTTTGGAAGCTGTTATAAGGTTTTAGGAACCTCCAAATGTCAGTTTCCCTGCAAATTGTTCATGCTGTAATGATTAAATATGATTTATAAGAGTGAAATAGAAAGAAAGTATGGCATATTGTATATCAAAATAAAGGTATTGATAAGGAGAATGTAAATCGTATCTTTATTTTTAATTTAAGTAATGTTGAATTAACAAAAAAGGGTAAAAACCTCTATTTTGGACATACTATATTTCACCATGATTTTTAAGCGAACTAAATGTTGAATATTGAAGAAAATCATTTCTGAAAATTTATAAATTGTCTTTTTTACCAGAATAAGTTCAAATAAATATTCAATTCTATGATTAACTTTGAACAATTGTAATCTAAAAAGTGGCCAATTACTTTTGCTACCTCAAAAAAACTCCCTTGTGGAAAAACTGTACAAAGATGAATGAATTATGAATGAAGGCTTATATTAGTGTATTAGTATTAAAAAATGGAATAATTGGTGAAAATTTCATCACTTTTCGTGGTTCCAATCAAAAGATAGAGCAGAAAATGTGAGTGGCCAATTACTTTTACTCGCTACTGTACATTGATAACTTAACTTGGTAATGGCTTTGTAGCTTGAACAGAAATTTATTGCTTTTTTGCAATTTTTTTCACATTTTCTGGCCAATGGACAGTCGATTGAAAACATGCAGCATTTGACATTGGAATAATTAAATTTAAATTGAATAAAACATGACAGATCCGGTGATTGCAAACCTGTGAATTTTAAAAAATTCAGCACCAGTGAAACTAATTACTGATGTGGTTTAAAAACATTTGTTCAGTCTGTTTGCTAATCGCATATTCACACATTATAGCTGTACTAATTAGTAAGCAAACCATCGAACAACAACAGAAACTCATAGTAGGGGCGTAGCCAGGGGGAGGGGGGGGTGGATTTTGGGGACAAATCCCCCTTCGTCACCAGAAATTTCTTCATTTGGCTTGGGTTTATTATAAATTCGGAAAGATCCCCTTAAAATTTTTTGCCCCCCCCCCCCCCACTTCACTGAACTTCTGGCTACACTCCTATCTCAGACTAATTAGAAAAGAAAGTAAATCTTCTTATCTTATTTCTAGTAAAAATAAATGGTTTTAAAACGTCAAATGTAAGTTTTTTTATTTTACAATAAAAATGAATAAATTGTGAATATGAATAAATTGACAAACTATTGCGCAAATGTCTCCTAAGATTATTGCTGGAAATACTCACAGATTATCACTAAAGGTTTAGGTCAACGTTACCGATCGAACACGTCAAATCTTAGTTAATGCACTCTTGTTCTTTTATTTTGTAATTATTTTCTTCAAAAACTCACATATATAATATAATCAAAAATATAATTTTTTTTAAAATTTATTTCTGTTCAATCAAAATAAAATTTATTAATTTTTCAGATCAGAACATCAAATGAAACGAACATTGAACTTTGTTGAAAATTTACATTTTTTTAACTTCTCTTGTAAGTTTTATAATATTTTTAATGATACATAAGTTATATATATGTATATAAAGTTATGTTATACATAAGTTATATAAAAAAATCATAAATTTTTTAAAAACTCAGTTGAACATCAATTAAAACTTTTTTTTTAACTCAACTGACTTTAGAATCAATTATTTTTAATCATGAAAAGTGTACCGTTTTATTACTCAAATAAATACACAAAAAAAAAATTAGAAAAAAAAGCTATTTTCCATTAAAGCACAACTTTTTTACAACAATTGATAAATTAGAGTTTTTTTTGCCTTTTTTTGAAAACTTTCTATTTTATATTTTTATTTGGCATTTTCAACTTGCATCAATGACAGGAATTAAACGATCTTCAATTAGCTTTTTCATTCAACTTTCTCGATAAATCAATATTTTTTCAGTTTTTTGGTGGTGTTCTTCATTGAAACATAAAAATCAATTATTTTTCTTTGAATTCATGTCAAATTTCTCTTACTTTTAATGATTTTTCTCTCTTAGTCAAACTGAACTTGCTGAAATGTAGTCTACATTGTGTATGAATGAACAAAAGCCCGTTTAATATTTAACAAAATGTGACTAAAATTATAATTGCCTGTAAAACTTTATTCTAATTTACATTTGAAAATAATTACAAAAGTCCTCGTGTTATTGATCGAGGGACTTAAGCGCATTTTTGTATTACCGATTAGTGTTTGATTATCTAATTATTTTGCGTTCATTTACAGATCATTAGAAAAGCTTTATTTTTTAACGGTCTTTTGAAATTAAAATTCTACAACGGCTAGAAAAAATTTGAAATTATAAAGGTAATGTTCAAATTATAGAGGTAAAATAAAATTTGGACAGGTTACACTGAAAACCAAAAAAAAATCATTAATTACAGCATATATACGCGATTTAAAGACTTTTAACTATTCGATGGGTCGATAAAACGATAGTAACAAAGCTAATAAAATAAACGCGAGCTCTCTACGATGTCTAATTAAAAAGTTTTTCTTCGCCCGAGCAGCCGAACAGCCGAACAAAGTGTATTATTAAGCTACCTTTTCGAAACAAGTTTCAAAAATGCGCTAAAAATTCAAACATTTCCTTGCATTTACCATTTATACGATTATTGTATGGATGGTAAAATTTTAGAGCGGGTTTGGGATTTTTTTTTCTCAAAAAACCCCAGAAAAATGAAGAAATTTTTCAAAAATGGAAGGAATTTGACCCCAAAAACCCGCCTGGCTACGTTCCTGAATAGATTTGTCGAGCGTGTTTGTCTACAAGAAGAACAAACGACATTTTTTGTGTCTAAAACGTGCTTGTTTTGAAATTTATCAGCTAGTGATTAACAAACAAAGTTCCAAGAATAAATTCTGCAAATTAACGTGAAAAAAATTCTTAATCATTTTATTTTGTTGCCTTTTATAACTTTTTATCTTATTTATGTTTTACTATTTTTGTAAAGAAATTTTGTTACACATAAAAACCCACAAATGTTTAATTTCGAACTTCAAATTGAGGCAAATTTAACATTTAATTTTCTTCTTAACAATTAATTTAAACGATCGAATTTAATCAAAAATGATCGAATTTAATCAAAAATGATCGAAAATTGCCAAAAATTAATTTATTGGTTCATCATTCTTGATTTCAATGCAATTGATCACTCTTTCCAATATATCGTGGATGCTTAAAAAAGTAAAACTTAATTATCATTGTTACTTAAACTATTACTTGTCTCCTAAAGTTTCCTAATTATCTTAATACTTTTATATTTTTATATCACTAGCTTTTAAGCTTTTCTGCCCGAATGGGCCAATAAAAGTCAATCAATCAATCAATCGTAGTCATAGTCAACCCATGGGCTGGGGCACACTAGTGGTCCGTGAAAAAAATGCACCAAGATGTGCTGTTACATAAAAATAGGTTGTCCATCACTGTTATACAGAAAGTGATAAGTTAAAGTTTAAATCTTACTTTATTTGAACTAATTCACCAAATGTTCAAACAAATCTATTTTTGTAGCACATTTTTTAAGGAAATGAGCTGAAAAGACTCGTTGGTGGAATGATTAAGTGCGTCGGTACCTAATTGTTGCAATACTGACATAGCGATCATAGGTTTGAGACTGGGTATGGGAAATTTTTCACCAGTCCTTTTTCAAATCATATGTACTGAAAATAAGGCTCACAGCCTTTCTTTGTAGGCTACAGGCAGAAATATCATCAAAGGAGTATAATTAATGATATTTTAATATCAGTATAGTGCAACGTGTTAAAATTTCAACATTACCTCTATAATTTCAAATTTTTTCTAGCCGTTGTAAAATTTGAATTTCAAAAAACCGTTAAATGTTAAATAATTTCTTTTTGGAAAATTATTACAGAAAATTGTAAATTATATGCAAATTAATAAAATATTCAAATACTGATCGCTGCATCAAAAATAAGCTGAAGTCCCTCGATCAATAACACGAGGACTTTTGAAATTTTAATGGGAACATCAACAGCTATTATTCACTTTGGTTGGCTGGCTGGCAGGCTGGTACACTGAGATCTTGGAAATGAAAGCACTTCTAGACTTTTTATTTTTACATTTAATATCTCAACTGTAAACTTTCTGATTTAAAGATTTTATTCCCAAATTATTATCAGCTTTTAAGATTGTCAACGGATTTTAATGTTAAAAAAATTTAAGATTAACTTTAATTTATTATAGATTTGTTTTTCATTTATAAAATGATCTTTATTTAAAATCAAATTTATTAAGATTCGCATGAATATTACCTTGAGCTAGAAATTTATATTTAAAATTTACTTATTCAATTAAAACAAAAGCTTCACGATTAAGAATTTATAAGATTTGTGCACAACAGTTCTTTCAGAGAAAAATTCTGATTTTTTTTACAATCTCATCTACAGCATAGCCGTAGTCTGCAGCGGTAAAATTATAACTTTATACAAATGTATGCGAAAATCTTAAAAAGATTTTTTAACGCATTTTTGAAACTTGTTTCGAAAAGGTAGCTTAATAATACGCTTTGTTCGTTTGCTCGGCTGCCAACGAAAACTTTTGATCTAGACATCGTAGAGAGTTCTAGTTTTTTGCGTTAGCTGTGTTCAATTGATTTATTCCGGCGACGAATAGTTAAAATCTAAAAACCATCGGGAAATACTATAATTAATGATTTTTTTGATTTCAAAACAATGTAAACAATGTAGCCAACATCAATTGGGTTAATATGAAATGTAATTTGAACGTTAGAAAGTTTGAATTTCAAAAAACCGTTAAATAATAAAGCCTTTCTATATAAGCATTCATTACAATTATTTGATAATTACACTAAAATTGATGATCTTCTGATCTTCTAATGAAATTGTAAATGAACGCAAAATAATTAGATAATCAAATCCTGATCGCTAACACAAAAATGCGCTGAAGTCCCTCGATATATAACACGAGGACTTTCGCCAATTTTTATTCTCAAAGTAGACGTCATTTCAAGGGGAAAACATTATGATGGCGATAAGATTTTGTAGATCATTGTTGGGAGACTTATAACTTAGATGGATGTTATCTACTGATTCCATATTATAAATTACCACCAAAATCATTAGTTCCTTAGTTGCTTACAAGCTATCAACTTTTTCTCATCATATTGTTCCCACCTTAAATTCTTTACTGATTTGTCAACAAAAATTAAAAAAGAACCAAAATCCCACAGCAAATTTTCTGAAACCTGAAATGATCTTTAGAATTTTTGATATTTCGTGATTTTTGATATTTCGTTGGCTTTACAGTTGAATTGTGATCCATGGCCTCCTTTTCCATTTCCTGAGATACTTTGGATAATAAAAAGTAGTTGATGATTGTACCTTAATTTGATTGGTTGGTTCGATTTCGATTGCACCGAATAGAAAATGTCAGCATGCAGCGAATGTTTTCTATTCGATAGATTTAATAAGCTACTAACTTAAGTTATACCATGTCGCTATTACTAAATGAATTTCCTGTTTTTAACAAATGTTGGATTTGATTAATAATTTCGGGATTTAAAAGGGATTTCACATTTTCATATTTATGGCTCAGAAATTTTTTAGGATTTTTCAGGATTAAGCCTGAGTTTCCACTCGAGCTCGAAGTCGATGAAATTTTGACTTCGAGTTTTGATTTCCACGCCTTAAAATTGATAAAAAATTATTGTTTTGTTAAATTTTAAAAATGAATAAATTTTAATCTATTTTGCAATTGGTTTACGATTTTTAGATTTAATCAATAACATGCAAAACTTAGAATTATGATCAAAAATATTTTTTTTTTCTAAATATGATCAATTCAACTCAATCAGAAATCACTGAAAATCACAATTTGATAAAGAAGCTTTTGATAGTCTTATGCATAAGTTAAATGGCAGATAGGAAAGATTATCATGAATTAAATAAGTATTCAGGGTCATACTTTTAAATATCATATATATTTTATGCTTTTGCCACAAAATTGAAAGTTGTTGAATTCATAGGAACCGTTATAATAATTAAGATTTGGAGTGTCATTTAAACTTCAATCTTAAACGTGATTTTGACAAATTCACTCAAAAAAATGATTTTCGATTAAAGTCATCAATTTAATTTTTTTTTTTTGAAAACTAGAAATCTTAAGCTAAATTTGCGAAACAAAACTATTTTTTTAATAATTTTTGTTACCAATTTTATTATTGTTAATCGATCAATAACTAAGCAATGCATTCAATAAAATTTACATATACTTTTATAAAATGTTAACGGATCTAATTGACAGAGTTGTGACAAGATAAACATTAATTCAGTTGATAATTTGCGTAAGCTAAGTCAGCGATTTTTAATTTGATTATCTTAAAATTGATTCTTAAATATCAACTGTTGTATTTATACAAATTAAAAAAAAATAATCACGAATTTTAAAACTTGAATAATTGTTCTTCAACCCTGCTCTGATTAAGTGAATATAACAAAATATAACATGCATAACAAAATAAATGTTATACCTTAAACGTTATAGCAATTTGGTATGAAATTGTGGAACTGGCGTTT